GCTGATCAACTTCTCTCCATGAAGCCCTTCTATCATGAGTTTTCTGCAATTGAGTCAGAAGATCATAGAGACTTAAAAAACTGTGAGTCAAAATAAATATTTCCTCTTCAAAGGTGTTCTAATCAGTATATGGTCAGAGTGATGAAAAGATGACTAACAAAAATGGGTTAAGTCACAGAGCACATTACTTTTTCTGGTAGTCTTGCCCATGATTACATCCTAACAGCAATTCTAAGACTAGAAGAGATGGTAGTTGGAGAACTGCCCCAGTCTGGCTGCAGCAGAATAGCCGGGGGTGGGGGGTGGGGGGTGATGAATAACTTGTGTAGATTGATACAGCAGGAGTGGGAGTCGTTTATTGTAGGGCAACAGAGCTATTTATACATTTTGCACAGCTTATCTTAATTAGCATAAACTAGATACATCAGTCAACCAATAAGGAATCTCCACACTTATTAGCTCACTTTTGTTACTTCACAAACCACTCCCTCTGGCATTTTGCCAGGCACCATCCAGACTTGTTTACGAACTCTAACATTCCCCTGGCAAAATACCAGGTGTTATTTTGACTTGTTTACAGACTCTAACAGAGAACCTGGAAAATGCAAGTTATCTTGTAAAGCTAACTATATAGGGGAACATAAATCCTAATACATATATAGCATTGTAATTTTATTTTATGTTATTTTATTGCATAAATGAAAAGGTGAAAAATTCACATTTTGAATTGATAATACAAATGGAAACAAAATGCACACACATCAAATTGTGGCAGTAACATCATAAACAAAGAGAAGGAATAGCTAAGGGTATGTGGAAAAGTAACATATGCTGATATTCTCTTGAAATTCATCATTTGCATAAGACTGAGCCCTTGATGATGATCATATGCTGATGGAACTAATTAAGTATCAATTCAAACTATATTGTTATTTAGGTAAGTCAGTGTGTGTTATACACATAGTAGCCACTATGAGAAAATAGGTAAAAGGACATGAAGAGGTAACCAAAATGGTGTACTGGGGAATAATCAACCAATCACAATGGAAACCAGTAGTGGAACAGTGAAGAACATAAAAAATAAATAAATAAATAAATAAATAAATAAATAAATAAATAAATAAATAAATAAATAAATAAAAAGTTACATGTAGAAAACATCACATTGACAGAAGTATTTAATTATCATTAATAACATTAAATGAAAAATATGAGACTTGGTTACTCAATACATAAAAAGCCTGGGTCCCCTTTGGTTTAACACATTTTCTCCGTTGTATTTTTGGAGAAAGACCACAGATGATTTAACTGTCTTTTAACAAAAACAAAGCACCTGGTCACAAGACCTGGAATTGAAATGACTCCCCAGCTACTGAGAATGTTACCAATCTGAGAATTATAGGGCAAGTTGGTGTGGGTACAATAGACACAAGAGTGAGGCTGGACAAAGGCCCTTTGGTGACAAAGGCTTTGAGTTCACTAAGAAGAGACAGGCTCTTGCTCTGTGAATACTCAACCAGCAGAGGACAGCAGAGCAGTAGACAGAAGCAGATAGCAAACAGGCTGCTGAACAGGCTTTGTCCAAGAGTGAAGCCATTTCTCTAATTGCTAGAGATGATGAACATTTTTTCATATATTTGTTGATTGATTGTATATACTCTTCTGAGAAGTGTCTTTTCAGGTCCTTGGACCATTTACTGATTGAGTTATTTGGTTTTTTTGGTGCTGAGCTTTTTGAGTTCTATATATACCCTAGAGATTAGTGCTCCATCTGATGTGTGAAAGGTAAAAATTTGTCCCAGGATGTAGGCTCTCTGTTCACCTCATAGATTGTTTCTTTTACTGAGAAAAAAATATTTTTAGTATGAGTCCATCTCATCTATTAATTCTTGGTTTTAATTCTTATGCTATAAGAGTCTTAAATAAGGAAGTTGGGTCCTAATCCTACATGATGAAGATTAGGGCTTACTTTTTCTTCTATTAGATGTAGAGTCTCTGGTTTAATTCCCAGGTAGTTGATCCACTTTGAGTTGAGTTTTGTGCGTGGTGAGAGATAGGGATTTAATTTCATTTTGTTGCATATGGATTTCCAGTTGTTCCAGCACCATTTGTTAAAGAGTCTATCTTTTCTCTCTAGCAATTAGAGAAATGCGAATAAAAACTACTCTAAGATATCATCCCACTCCAGTCAGAATGGAAGCTATTAAGAAGACAAACAACAATAAGTGTTGGTGAGGATGTGGGAGAAAAGGTACACTCATACATTGCTGGTGGGACTGCAAATTAGTGCAGCCATTATGGAAAGCAGTATGGAGATTTCTTGGAAATCTGGGATTGGAACCACCATTTAACCCTATTCCTCTCTTTGGTCTATACACAAAGGACTTAAAATCAGCACACTACAGGACACAGCCACCTCAATGTTTATAGCAGCACATTTCACAATTGCTAAACTGTAGAGCCAACCTCAATGCCCTTCAGTAGATGAATGGGAAAAAGTGTGTCATATATACACAATGGAATTTTACTCAGCAATAAAAGAGAATAAAATCATGGCATTTACAGGTAAATGGATGGAGTAAAAGAAGATAATGCTAAGTAAGTCAGCCAATCCCCCAAATACAAATGGTGAATGTTTTCTCTGATGTAAGGATGCTGATTCTTAGTGGGGTAGGAAGGGGGAGCATGGGAGGAATAGACAAACTCTAAGTAGGGCAGAGGGGTCAAAGATAAATGGAGGGGTCAGGGGTTTAGCGAGGATGATGGAATGTGATAGGCATCATTATCCAAAGTACATGCATGAAGGCACAAATTGGTGTCAACATACTTAATATACAAGATAAGAAAAATTGTGCTGTATATGTGTAATGAGAATTGTAATGCATTCCGCTATTATTTATTTTTTTAAATCAATAAAAAAAGAGTGAAGCCAGCTCTGAGAGCCAACAGGAGCCCAATTTCAGTCACCAAATTAGACATCAGGAGAGCCCAAACTATGCCCTGGGCTGCAGTGAGCACATTCTTAGGGTCAGACTTACACAAGGTCACCACAGGACACTGTCAAGATCCCAGGAACAAGGAGGACCTTACTGGGAAATGCCCTGGAGGAGCCTGGTCATACCTGTCAGCATGGGCAGCCCCTGCTGGGAAAAACTCACTGGAGGGACCAAGCTGAGATCCAGGTGCTCTAGCAAGGAGCACAGCATGAGAAGATGAGTTTACCACATGTGTCATTTTCTCAGCATGAATGCATAGACCTCCTCCTAATCTCAGGGCACCGTTTATCACTGTCCAGAAGTCATCCCAGGGATGACTGCTCCATTCTAGACACTTTGAAAGATTTTTCTACACTACCCCTTAGCCTTACTCCCACCTTCAGGCATATCTTGCCCAGGATATATTTCCTCTGCTCAGGTGCAGTCTTGGATGAGAGAAGAGGGCATTTGTTCCCTTGTCCCTGGATGGAGTATGCACAGGCAGACTCTCAGAGTAACATTACTCACCATATGCCTCACATCACATTCCCAAACCTTAAATTAACCTTGGTCCAATGACAGGAACCTCTCATTTGAGGGATCCTTGACAACCCACATTCCAAAGCTCAGCCTTGTGCAAAACTGTGACACTGATGAACTTCACAGAGAACACGGGGCCTAAAGCTGCTTTCTCCATTATGTTTGGATTCTGACACTTTTAAACCTATTACATAAAACATAAATGATAAAAAATAGCATAAACTTGCTTATTGTTTGTATATTGTGGAATGAGGGATGTTAAACAGTGTTTTTGAGGGCAGAAAATGTAGGAAACACATGAAATAAAGTGGTTGATTATTTGAACAAGGTATAATGTGAGACATAATTAAAGCATCATAACAACCAAAAAACATTAAACAAAATACCAAAGATGAAAACAAAGTACATCTGGGAAACAATGAGAATGAGGAAAATAAGGGTCCATTGTCCACCATAGCTGGATCCAGATCAACAGATCAGCCTATGGCCAGGCTCCTGAAAAGTTAACAGCCCTGCTGAAATGGAGATAGAGAAGTTACAGCCCAGAGGAATTGGAACAGTGGTCAAGTGTTAAATTCCTGGAAAATGAAATTAATCAGAATTCATGGAAATCAAGGTTGATCTTCTGCCCAAAAAAGCTTGGAGACAGTTGAATCCTCAACCTCTACATTCTCAGTCTCTTCTTCTTTACCCACAGCTGGTTTGCATGACTTCCCATAACTGGTGGTCACAGAGGATGCATAATTTGCATGATCACCAAACATGTATTTACCCAAACATCTTGAGAGGAATAAGAGAGGAACTGGAGAACCCAGTTGTGCTGTGGATATCAGGACAAAGAGTTTTGGTGTGTCTCCACCATGAACTGCACACCTCTACTCTTCCCACTCCTCTTGCTCTACACAGGTGATCTCTTCTGTCCTGTCCCAGATTTTACCTGTAGGGGTACCACAGGATCATGAGCTGGATCTTCCCCAAGTGTGACATTTATATGGGACATAAATTTATTGGGTCCACTGGGTATGGGTCCTTCATCTCTCTCTCTCTTCTCTTGCAGGCTTTGTGGTCTCCTATGAGCTGACTCAGCCATTCTCAGTCTCAGTAGCCCCAGGACAGACAGCCACAATCACCTGTTCTGGAGATGAACTGCCAAATAACTATGCAAACTGGTTCCAGCAGCAGTACCCAGGACAGAGCCCTGTGCTGGTAATATACAAAGATAGTGAGAGACCTTTAGGGATCCCAGAGAGATTCTCTGGGTCCAGCTCAGGGACAACAGCCACTCTGACCATCAGCAGAACTCAGACTGAAGATGAGGCTGTCTATTATTGTTTATCATCATATGATGATAGTGGTAATGCACTTCCCACAGTGACACAGACAGATGGGAAGTGAGACACAAACCTCTACCCTGTCAGTGTCATACTTCTCTCCAGATTCAAGAGGACTACAAATAGAGCCTTGAGCAGAACTGGTTCAGCTCATCCAGAGATGAGGCCCCAAGCTTCTTTTTTCTTCCCAGTCCTACAGCCAGGCTCAACACAGTGTAGGTGAGGGATGATTTTATGGCCATTAAGACAGATTGTCATGGTGTTTTCTGAAACAGGCAGTGATAAAGAAAAGCAAAAATGAATGAAAATATAGATAGGAAGAGACATCCCTCCATGTCATGGTCTCTGGATTTCTATATTATGGTTCCTGGACCTCTCCAGGGCCCCAGTATTCCAGATTTCTAGTCCCCTGAGTTGCTCATCACTTCTCAGCCCCTGAAACTCCAGATTCCCATGATAACCTTCATGTTGAACAAAGAAGACAGGAATAGAGTATAAAGAGGGATTGGCCTTGATCTTCTCTTCAGAGCTCACCTGCCCATGCACAGAACCTTGGGTTTATCACAGCTCACAGAGATGTTCTCACTGCAATTTGTGTTGGCTGGTTGCAGAAAACTGCTTCTCCAGGTTCATATCTTTCTCATACAGGTTTAGTTTAATGGCTGCTTGAGGCCATGACCTCAGAGCCTTGCCCCATTTTAGGGTGCTCTGCAGGTCATCCAGCTTCAGGACAATCTGTTGGCCTACTGAGTGGTCAGCTGTCACCTCATGGGGTCACTGTCTCTTTCAACACATTACTGCCCCCTATCTGATTTCAAGACAGCCTGAGCATCATTCTTCACCTCAGAGTCTGATCAATGAAGTACAGGCATTCCCAATGTGGATGTCCACAGACTATAATGGTTTGGATAGGTGGTCTTCCAAAGAAGTTCATATATGACAAAATGCAAGAATATTTAAGGCAAAATGATTAGGTTATAAGGTGTAAACTAATCAATGGCTTAACCCATTGATATGGGTGGTAATGGTAGGCGGGTAGGCCGTGACTGGATTAGTTAGTTCTTCAATGGGGGGCATGTCATTGTGTTTTATATTTTGATATTCTGCCTCGCCTTGGCCCCAAATCAATGGAGCTGGCTATCTACAAACTGTGACCTCTGAAAGCATGCACCAGAATTTCCTCCTGTAGTTCTTGTTGGGTCTTTTGGTCACAGCAACAAAATAGCTGACTAAAACAGGAGCCGTGGAAACCATTCTGTACTCAAAAAGCTGCTGTGGGAATTTAAATTCCCACTGTAAATGTTCTAATGCCCCATCTATTACCAATTTTTTCTTGCATTTTTGTAAAATGACATCTTAAGTATTCTGGATTATGAAAGATTTGAAGCATCAGACCCATACTGGAGATGAATCCAGGGATATGTGGATGACCCTCATGTCAATATAGTGACCCAACAGATACCCAGCTACAGGTGTGGGTTACAGAATTAAAGTCCTTCACTTCTAACCTCCATACCTTGTCCAACACCTGAACCATCACCAAACACCTCCTCTTCCTGGTAGTAGGGCCCCAGAGTTTATTCCTGAAGTCCCTGGTCCATGCCTTAATAGGGGTGTGGTGAATTTTGGTCTTCATCAAGAACCATTGGTGAACTAGAGGGCTGCTGGCATTTGATGCATATTCCTTATGCTCTGGCTTTAATATCTCTACCAAAAGTGAGGTTGAAATTCAATCTTCATTGTGAGGTAGTTATAGGGTAGAAATGTAATCTTACTATGTATTTAGAGGTGGGACCTTTGAAAGACAACCATGTTAAATGAAGGAATAAAAGCAGTGTCTTAATTGGACTGTAGCTTTAGAAGAGGAAGAGAAACTTGAGCAAGGACTTCCGTCTTGCCATATTTTTCCCTCAGCCACCTAAGAACTCTGCAGAGTCTCTGTCAGCAAAAGACCCTCACCAGAGACCAAATATAGCCTGGTGCCCTGTTATTGGACTTATAGAACATTGAGCTAAATAAGCCTTTTCCCTTCATAAGTTAGCAGTCTTTAATCAACTATAGCAACAGAAAAAAGACTAAGAAAAAAATTGGAAGTGGGCAATATGACCTTTGTTAATAACCAATACAGGAAAATTGAGTTACAGAGATTGTAGAACTTTAGAGGAAAAGGTAATAAAAAGCTCAAAATACTGAAATTCAAATGCTATATGTAATTTTGGTGAACAGCCAGAAGACAAAAAGATTAGGAAAAGTTTATAACTTCTTAGAGATTGGCTTTGTGGTCATGAGCAGAATGCTGATAAATTTGTGGACAGAGTAGGACATTTTGCAAACGAGGGCTTAGATGGAAAGGAGCAACAGCATTAGAAAATCTGGAGCCAAGACTAACCTTATTATGAAGGAGCAAAGAATCATGCTGAACTGTGTCTATGCCTAAGGGCTTGATGGAAAGCCAATATAAGAGTGAAAATGAGTGGTGGAAGAAATATCTCTACAGAAAAATCATTGAGTTTGGCGCCTGGGCACTTTTAACCAATTACAATAATATAAGAGAGTAAAGAAATTATTTGAAGATAGAATTTATTAGTGAAAAAACACAATTTATAAAATTTATAAAAGTCACAGCCAGGCCCTGAGGAACAAACATGCATGTTTAATAGAAAATTCCAAGTGTGTTGCAAAGGGACCACTAGATAAGCACATTATCAGAGAATAAAGGCAGACAAATGCCAATTAAGTGAATGGGGAGGAAGGCCCTCCAAACTGTGCTCAGAGGGCTAGGAGGGCAGAATGAATCTGGGAAATTAGCTTAGTATGCTGCCAATGGGCTTTAGTCCAAGACTGTCTTGGCGCTCTGCTCTCTGCACAGAAGTACACTGCTCAGCTGCCACAGCAGGGCTTCAAATCAGTCCCCATTCTTGGCTCATGCTGCCAATCCAGAGAACAGAGATAAGCCTTGGCAGTGTCTACATCCATGTGTTACTAATAATGCAAGCAAGCATAATTCCCTTAGATCTTCAAGGTGGCAGTACTGTATGCCACTCCCCATCCAAAGATATGTTATTTTTAGTTTGCTTATTTGAGTGGTAGAAATAGGGGAAGACTCATAATCTAGCATAAACATAACAGTCCTGGTATAATATGGCTTAGTGTTTCTGAGTCATGTAGTTCATGTTGCAAACACCAGATCTGCCCTGGCACTGAGACAGCATCCTTGAGAACTTGAGAGAAGCAGACATGGCATTGCTAATTCTAAACACAGGCAGCAGCTATATTTTTGTCTCCCTGACATTTAAAGTGTTCTCTGTTGTGCTGGGAATGTTTATTGGGGACATCTGTTGCAGTGCATTCTCCCTAAGAAAACTGCTTTACTCTAGAATTGGGGATGGAAATGGGTATTAGAGTGGTTTCCCTTGAACTTTCTTTATTAATTCTTGGTATAAAATCAATAGGAAACAAGTTGGACACCTGTCTGCTACATCAAAACATGCTAAACCATCCCCAATTTTTTCTTCAGATCAGACCTCAAGACAGTCCCTTGGAATTGTTCTTTATAAATGTACCTACTTTACTTCTGATGGTTATGCATATTCACACCACCAGTTATTTTATAGTATTTTATCACTATTTCTATCAATAGCCCATTTCTAAAGCATCTGATGCCATCTACACTGGGCATAGACCCCCTCAGTTATGCAGGTGTCCTTGCACCTGCATGTGCTTCTCATTTGTTGAAATGAATGACCTCCAAGCCCTACTGAGGACAGATTCATCTTTGAGAATACAGTCTGCATTGTAAATGTTGCCCAGTCTGTGAAACCACCTTGTGAAAGTGTATCTCCTGGGCTGAGGGTTGTTCTTCAGGACTAGATTTATCCTCTCTGTGTCCCTGGGGATGAGTCTTGTTCTAAAAAACACAGAGCTCCTCTGAAACAGATCTGAATTCTAGCTAACATGGATCCCCAGTAAACATGAGGTAATCTCAGGAGGAAGCCAAGACAATCTGAGCCTCAGGGAAAAAAAAAAAAAACATCAGGGAGGCCTGAACAATGGCTCAGAACCCTTTTCACTGCACAAGTTTTGTCACAGGGATGCTGCTCTATCACTATTTCTGAGCTCTGTGGGCCCTGCCTCTGGTGGGCGGAATGATCAGTATCCTGATGCCGAGAGGGGGCTAAATGGCTGAAGTCCCCACATTGTGCTGACTGGCCTGTGTGAGCCTAAGAAGCTATAAATGCCAGTAAGATGGACAGGCTTCCTCATGACTTCAGAGGCTCCATTCTTCTATCAGGCTCATGGGCCACTGGGACTGAAAATGAAATGGACAGAGGGAGGACCTAAAGAGTCCCTCAAGACAGAACAGACCAGGCAGACAGGGGAACTACTGGAAGCTTCCGTTATTGTTATTATTATTATCATTTCTTTTTTCTCCTGGCAGAGCTTCATAGCCTCATAAGAGCTGACTCAGCTACCCACAGTGTCAGTGACCTGGGTTAGATTCTGAGTACCACATATAAATTTTTAAAAAATGTCTTTCTACAACTGGAAAATAAAATATTTTTTAAAAGTGACATTTCCCCCATTTGGTAGTGTATACAATGCTAAATGTACATCCTACCACATTTTCAACCAAGTCAGTTTTAAGGCTAAAGTTGTGGCTCAGTGGTAGAGCACTTGCTTAGCATGTCACTTTTATTCAAAGACAAGTCCTTTAAAGAGATCAGAATCCACAACAGGTCTATGACCATGAGATTTGCAAAATTGCAATGAGATTTGTCATCTATAAGAAAGTGTTTTCTGAAACCCCTAAAAATATTATGTCCATGACAGATTCTTCATACAGCCTGCAACGAATAGTTTTTTGAAAGTTTATCCTCAGGTTATTCTGATTACGTAGATTATGCCATTACAAATATTTTTTAAAGAAAAATAAAAGCTTATCCATACACCTTCCAGACTTGCATATGAACTGATGAACTTATGACTAATTTGTCGAAATGCTTTACCACACAGGCAAAAACAAACTACATATCATTTACTGCACAAACTACCACTGACAATTAG